TTTTGTTTCTCTCTTGCCTAAGTGCAACCCCATTTTGCTGCCTGCTAGTGCCTTTCCTGACCTCTCTCTATACATACAGTTCTAGATGATTCAACTGGAAATATGATAAGCTGTCAGAAGGATTCCAAAGCACAACTGAGTCACTAGTGAAAATGTTCATCAGCAAAACCAACCATAATATACCCTATGAATTGAAAAAAGACTAGGTCCTCTACCCTCCCTCTTAATGTGTCCTAGCTTATAAACGAACCTCAAATCTATATGTAGTCACCTCACTTCTCTGGGTCCTTATAGCTCCCCCTATAAAATAAATACAAACTGTATTGCTCCGTGGGAACTTCTCTTCCCAAGGCCTGGCATGCAGGATGTGGACAATGAATGCTTATTTTCTTCTAGTCTAAATTAAAACCATGGTGCTATTAGGAGGGAAAAGATGACTCTTCAAGCTTTATGTCCCCTAGCCTGTTGCTTGGGTGGGGGCATATTTGCAGAAGGCCTGTGACTGATAGCACAAAAACTTAGTTTAGCCCAACTCAATCCTGTTTGGGAAAGGAATCCCAGGTGAGCAACTGCCATTCCATCATAGAAAGCACTATAAAATGGAAGAGACTCAGGACATGAGACAATGACTTCAGTTTTGTAGCCAACACACATGGAAGGTCACTGTTATACACTAACTTGAAAAAAGCAACTACACTTTTTAACGCAGTCTATTGAAACTCAATTTTAGAGGTAGGGAGCCTTCAGAAATTATAGTAAAGTTCTCTATGGATTAGAAAACTATTGCCTTCAAAACTTTTTTAAATACATATATTTTGAACATTTATTGAGAGATAGGATTTATGCACATTATTATGTATCTCCTCAAAGTCAATGCAATGCTTTTCCCACACTGTATTTCCTCAAGAAATTCGAAATGAGTAAATGAATGAATAAATTCAGATACTTGCCCAAAGTCACAAGTTGGTACCTATAAGAACTACAATCCCCATATTCTGATTTCCTGCTAAGTTATCCTGGGTAAGATCAGAACACGCCTGAAAATAACTAGCAAGTGTCTTAGACCAGTCTCCGAATGACTTATTTTAGCCCATTCAAGAACATAAATGTAGCACTCTGTTTATCAGCACAGAGAGGATGTTCAATTTTTCTACAGTGTCTAAGTCAATCCTTCCTGACTATGATGATGTATTACTAATGTCTTATATAAAGGGGCTTTTTATCTCCATCAACATATCATACATCCCCCATTTCTTAGGTCCTATTTTACAGTCAAGGTATACAGAGGCCTTGGAACCAGAAATGTATCGATCAGCCAGTACAGTAGTAAATGGTATATGATGTATTAGTGAGTGAAGAATGTTCTCATTTACAATTGAGAGATAAGAAAGCAAAAATTGCCATTTCTTGCAAGTGTTCTGGTCTGTGACACCCCGAGAATAGAATAGATCTAAAATTCATTTCTAAGTAGATTTCTATTCACGGTATAGATACTTCTGTATTTACCAATCTGAAAACTCACCTGATTTGAAAGTCTTTAGACACCACTTAACCTTTCTCCATACAGGTTCTTTATCTGAACTATGAAACATAGAAAATTATTTGAGTGCCTGTTTTCTGAATTCTTCTAAAGGGCAGTACATAATCTAGTCCTTTCTTTATTCCTAGGAAAGAAAGTGATCTATTATATGCAACAGAAGCTGTAGGGTGTTAGGACTTAACAGAATTTTCACAAAATTCTGGCTAAGAAACATGCTACAGTAATGCAGTGTACCTACGGGCTATGAACATGTCACAGTCATTTTCACCAACATACAATTCCAAAAAAGCTGCCCTCTTTTTATAAGCCCTTAATGATTAAAGTGACCTTATTACCTCTGAAACTTCATCAGAAGGGAATGGTCATTTATATTCATGTTATTAAAAAAACATTTATTTTTTCTATTTGTCAAACAGAAAGATCAGCAAATCTTTTGTACTTATGTAAAATGTAATTCAAACAAAAATAGACTGGGGCATGTTTATAATGAAGACTATTAGGTGGATTTTGTAGGCAAGTTAGATCAAAATGCAATCCTCTAAAGTGCTTGAGAAATTATTTCCAACTTTTCAGCTAATCAACAAATACTCCTTCATAGATGCTTGGAAGGGTATGACAAAGAAAACACACTTGCATATTTTCCCAAGAAATGGTTATTTTTCTTTCCTTACATTGATTTAAATCTCTTACATAAAACAGAGTTAATGATTTGTCTCATATTACATTTTGATCACTGGCTTACAATTGGAAACTCAGCTTAGAGTTGGTAAGATACAGAAGAGCTGGAGAATGGGTTAACATTTATAGAATGCTTGCTAGGAGCCAGGCATAGTGCTAGGTACTTTGCACATATAATCTCAACTATTCCCCATAAGGTAAGTGACTTTATCATTTCCTTTTTACAGATTAAAAAAGTGAGACTCAGTTTCACATAGCCATTAACAGAACTGGGATTCCAACAGATTTCCATGATTTATGTTAAGGGTTGTTCCAGGACTCAGTGCATCTTCCTCCAAAGAAGACTGAAAAATGAATTAGGGCATTTCACTTATTTTCAGATTTATATCACCTATTGTTCAGCAGACAAATTCTCTGTCAAAATATGGCCAGCTGTAGCTTGCCTACACATCAGATCAAAAGGAACAGGGTTCAATACATTAAAGAAATTAAAATCCATGAATGCCCCTATAAATTTGACTGTCTTGACATGACAGATTCAGACATACAGTATTCCAAAAAAAAACTGCTGAGCAACATTTCACAAGAAAAGAGGGTGGAAAGTCAACAGGCTGAATCATCAATGTCCTTAGGTACAGTAATAGAGGAAATAAAAAACAGAACGAGGCAGATGACTTAATTAACTTCTTTTATTCTCAATGTGGTGAGTACATTGACCTGAAAATTTCACTTTTATTCACAGTCTTTAAGTTGATTCCCAGGAATTAAAAACTGTGTGTGTATATGTGTGTATGTCTTGGCCACAGAAATGTCTGAGGTTACTGTTACACACAATTTAACTTCTAGAAAATCCTCCCTCTCACAGAATTGCTTTGGATTTTTCCCTTCCTCAAATGGAGTCTTCAGGAGCTGCATCTAGAAAAGAGAGAACAGTAACTAAAGGATTTTCTTTTGTCTGAAAGCACAATGCAGAGGCACTTTCAGAATAGGAGAAAGTCTTTCTGCTAAGCCTCTTTCAACCAAGCATTAATATTTATTAACTTGCACGCCACTGCAAAATGAATGTTTTATGATCAAAAATGCATAGCAACAAAATGGGAGTTTCAACCACAAGCAACTTACCTTCCAGAGAAAACGAACTCAGGGTGGAGTTAGCAATCCACCTCCTCAGTATTTTGGAGGACATCCATTCACTCATGTCTCCATGTGATTACTAGAGATAATAATCAAAAAGTTATGGGATTTCCTTATCAATAAGAGATAACTACAATAAAGTTATCAATTAACATTACATTAATGTTACATTTTAAAACAGGGCCTATAATAATAGGACCGAAGGCTATTTCAAAAGTTCAGAATTATATATACCACATTTTAAATTTAAATTAAATCAATTTCTAAGCAATTCAGAAAACAGGGGAAGTTTTTTCCACATTAGAACAAAAGAATGCCTGTCTCAAGTTTGCCTACTCATTTACTCACTATTTATTGAGTACATTTTATTTTCCAGGCACTGGAAAACTGGGGTTTTGAATCAGCATCAAGGTTGAAAAATGAGTTACATGAGATCTTCACTATTGAAAACTGCCCTTACTAAATCACTTTGTAATTCTTTTAACAAACTACTCAATCTTATTATAGCTTTGCATGGTGAGTTATTACATACTGAAAAAGAACAAGAGCATCTCATCTCTATAATTAATGTACATACTACACAAAGGCACAGAAATAAAAACCCAGTAGCATCTATTTTGTCCTATCAATTACAGTGATTCAGTACAATGACAGCTTTACTAAGACCATGTAACAATGAGCTTGTTGAATGTTCCCCTTTCATAGTCTTGCATGAAGTTCCTACCTAAATATTTTAGTAATTGATTTCCAGAACATCATCTTATGTCTTCATTGTGTCTAAGCAGTGTCAAAAAGGGGAAGAAGCATGCATTTTGAAATCAGGAAGACTTGGGTATGAATTCCAGTTGTGTGTGCAGTAAATTTTTCCATGACTTACTTTACCTGTCCATTTCTCAGCTTCACCTACCAAACTGGAAGCATTGTTACAAGAAATACAAATAATGTATACAAAGCAACTATCTCATAATAGATACTGTTTCTATACCCAAAATGTAGTATTGCAGTGTAGTACCCAAAATGCAGTGTAGTCTTTAAAAGACTACATTGAAATTGCTCTGTTTTAGGTAGTATAATTCTCCATGAAAGTAAAATAACATAAATGATAGACTAGGACAGAGATGAATATTTTAGGCCTGAGTTGTTTTTGTCTCATGAGACAGTCATTTTACATATAAATTATTTCACACTTACATAAGGTGTCTAGTAAGAGTAATGTTAATTTTAAATATCATGTCTTCAGATTTTGAATGGGATTGTTAGAAAGTCTACATTCTCCTGACTCATAATCAACCTTCTGTGCCTATTAAAGTATAGACATGCTAACAGAGTCAAGAAAAGAAGCAAATTAATCAAAGTTTAAAATTATTTTTGGTTCGCTAGCAAATAAAGTATCAACTTCAAAATGAAACAATCCAATGAAAACACTAAATCTTATTCCTGTAAGAATTTAGTAAATAAATACTTCTTTAAGCATAGCTTTGCTTTGAATGAAACTTTTACCATAAATCTTGCTTCTACCTAAAGCAATTCTAGGAAGAGTAGATAGACTCTACTTTCACTATACAAAAGAAGTGATCTTTCTCTCTCCTCCTCCTCACATCTTATTTTCTTTTCTCTGACATCTGCCTCTTCCTTTTGATACTTGCAGGTGGTCCGGCCATACCAGACCATGTCTAACCCCATGAGCAAGCTCACTGTTCTCAACAGCATGCATTCTCATTTCATCCTGGCTGACAATGGGACCACGGGAAAATACGGAGCAGAAGTGAAACTTCGGAGACAACTGGAAAAGCATATTTCACTCCAGAAGATAAACACAAGTAAGTAGGCCACTGCTCTCACTATCAGACCTTATAGAAAATATGCCAAAAAGAGTAACTTTAAATACACCATGCAACAATATTGTAAAAATATGTTGTAAAAGTGGGGCATCCTTTCTCCCGGGCCAGTGGTAGAATCAGAGAAAGTCATCCAGAAGAGGACAATTAGAAGCACAGACCTGATGATACAACTAGTGGGTTCAAACTCATTGATCACTTGTGAAAAATTTAATCCCATTAGGGCTTTGGGAATGCAGATAAGCTTTCTCCTCAAGCTGTTTCTACATCCTTTTCACAGTACTCCGTGGAGGATGCCTTTTTACCCTAGAGAAAATGTTTCTATTTATTAAGCTTTTTTTGGTGGCTAAAAAAAGAAAAATGAGTTTTGATCTTAGCACAGATCTGACTTGTAAACGCATCTCAAGGGAACTGAATATTCTCTAAGCTAAAGCATGATGGGAAACCATATTGATGAAACTTAAACTGTCTCTTAATTTTATGTATATATTCATTACTTCTAGTTACATATGTATTTAGGTATGTGTATACTGTGTGATCATATAATACACATCAGATGACTATATTAACAATATTAACATTACCTCATAAGTACTTATAAACTCTAAGCTGTATTTATTGTACAAATATTTAACTGTGAAAAGAAACATTGCTCCTCAAATCACTAAGCAGCTTGCATTTAAAAGTGATCAGGTATAAAAACTGGCCACACAAAATAAAATTTTTTCTTTCACAAAGTAACAAGTGAGGCTTTGTGGCAAGCTGTAGACTTTGTGGTAATTATATATCCCACCAAGGAAACTTGGATCTAATTGATTGAAATTCCAAAGAACAAAAGACTTTCTTTGGCTAGATTACTTTTCATAAGTCCAGGGTAGATATGACTTTTCTTGTCCAAATGACTTTTCTTTGGTCTTTTTTTCTGAATCTGTCCCAAATGGGTCTTCTTACTATAGCTGTTTTCCTCCCAGAGTTGGGATGTTAGACCACTCTTCTCCTTCCTATTCACTCTTCTCTGGTTTCAGCTCTTAAAGGGACTACTTCTACTTATGTAGCCAAGTCTCTGCTTTCATTCTTTCACAGTGAAGTATAGAATAATAAGTTTTATTCTAGATCTGAAGTAAAAATTACATTAGGCACCTCCCTTTCTGAACTGTCTTTGGGAAGAACCAGAGTTCAGGGATGTTACCCAGAGTGAACATTTTCTGAAAAAAAAAAAAAAAGTAGAAAAGACTAGAAAACTAATCCAGAAGCCAGCAAAGATAAAATTTAATACAGCATTGTTATCAATGGGTGGTAGGTTTTGCTGAAAATACTAAAACTAAACTTCATTACAATATTTGAAAGAATGGACAAGTGCTATGTAATTAGTGTTATTTCTTTAGATTTTTACAGACTGTGGCATTACTTTTTTATGTAAGAATGAGAGCTTAAAAAAGGATTGTGCTGGAATATGAAAGACATATTGAGCAGAGTAACAAGGAATAAATTCAGGGTCAAGTTCAGTACTCATCAATGAGAAAATCTGTCTCTACTCTCGTGTCATTGTGCTAGGCCCTGGTGGCAGCAGGGCTGACTTGTCAGTAGTGTGGAGAGCAGAGCTGAGCTTATATAAATTGAGCATCCAGCAAAAGGGAATGCAGGCTAGAGTGAAAATCCAGCCAAAGTCATTAGTCAAACCTTATGCCTTACAGGTGCCCGGAGGAAAGGGTTCCTTTTTCTAATTGATCACCTTTTGTAATGGAATTTATGTGGTTGGAAGGGTGCCTTTCTCCAAAGCTTGCAGAGGTTCTGAATGTATGGGTGGCCTCCAGAGAGACTCCTGGATAGCAGCCTGACCTCAGTGAGCCCAGCAGAGCCCAGCAGTGTGGGGCATGGAGAGCAGGCCACAGCAAATGGTCTGAGATGCTGGAGGAACAACACCAGATGCTAGTCTGTGGGTAGAGAGGTCATCAGTAACACATCATATCCATTTGTGGAGACACTAAGCTCTCACTTATCTGTCAGGACAGGTAACAGCATATGGGCACATTGACAAGTGGGCACCCGGTCAGGATCTAGAGTATAAAGAAAGGGAGAGGCATGAACCAGAGTACTTGCTTTGCTGACTGAGGGACATCCTAGGAACCCACAAGCTCCCGTTCTGTGAATATGATCGAATGGTAAGAGGAGGATTACAGAAGCCCAGCAGAGAACTCTGAAATCACAGGAATTATAAGATACAGGTAAAGGAATCTGTCTGTAGGTTATAATGACTGATGTCAAGAGTTACTTCCTTAAAACTGTTCTAACAGTGGTAGGGTAAGCAACTTGTCAAGGTTTGCCTGGGACTGTTTCAGGTTTAGCACTGGAAATCTCTCGTCCCTGGGTCTTGGAAAAACTGAGATGATAGGTCACTCTATGAGTGAATGACTCATCTCCTAAGGTCTACTTCCTTTATTATTATACTCAGCCCCCAAGGCAGGGAGAGATCAGCAAGCTCAGATATAAGGGGTGACCAGGCTTACTGACATAGAGGTCTCCATTCAGTTAGAAGCAAGGAAAATTGCCAATGGAGATCATTAAAGCCCCAGAACAGAACTAAGAAGTAGGCAAAAAGTCATAACTTGAAACAACATAAGAATACAAACATTTAATGCAATGCTCCTCTCTAATTTGGCATGCTTTTTTACATTATAATTATCAATGTCATTCTTCCTTTCATTAATTAAATTTTATTGTATAAGTTCATTTGAAAAATTCCATTCAAAATGCATTTTCATCTTCTGCTCAAAATCTAAACTATAACTGTGGAACCCAGTTTCCAGAAAATTAAACATTCTGACATAGTAACACTGCCTACTGGCTCTTCCACTCAGGATGGCCCAGCGATGTCTGCAAACCCTCAGCTCTTTGCTCACTAAAGAGCCAGACCTCCTCCTCACTCGGAGTTGACCTGTATCTGGTGGTAACCTATCCATAGGCCTGTTTTCTTACATAAATGACAATCTTCTAATTGTCCCCTGAATATAAAGCTCAGACACCAGTAAGCCCTTTCTCACCACCATGCCCATTATAACTAACATATCATAAGCACCATCTCGTCTTCCCCCTTTCCTACTCTCAGCTTTCAGTAGAGACGTAGTGTCAGAGATTATTGATGGGCTCTGCCCATAAAAACAAACAAACAAAAAGAATCCGTTTAGACATGAGCAGTTATCTGCCTTAGAACACTCTTTTATGAATTTTTAAACTTCAAATTTAATACAAATTTATGACTGTTATGTACCAGTCATAGCTAAGGTATGGAAAAGCAGCAGTAAACAATTCACTGAGCTTAAGTCGAGGACAAACAGTAAATAAGTAAATAAGCAAATGTGCTGTCTGATAGTAAAGCACGCTATTAATAAAAATAAAGCAGAGGCAGGCATTTGTCTTTATGCATGCAAGTGTGTGTGTCAGGAGGATCGTTTGAGTTAGGTGGTCAGGAATGGCACTGAAGCAGAAACCTGACTGGGGTGAGGAACTGCTGTGGACAGAGCATGCTGGGGACTGTGACAGCAGGGATAAAAATTTCAGGGCACTGAACAAAGAGCAACATAACCCTAGTAAAGTCTTGGATTTTATTCTAATGAGTTGGGGTCTGAACAATTTATAGGCTCTCCTTTATACTTTAAGATGCAATTGCGTGTGGAGTTTACACTGAGGTCAAGGGCAGATCATAAGCAAGGAGATGCTCTTAGGAGGCTCCTGCAATATTACAGGAGAGGATGGCAGTCTGAATAAGGCTGGCGGCAGGAAAGGTAGCAAAATGGACTATGTCTATATAGTCTCACTACCATTAGGTTCTAACCTGAGACCTAGACCCTCTCACCTATGGCCCACCAGAGTCCAGGGCGTTCATTAAATTTCTTTACTGCAAATCAGAACCTGGCTCTGCTTGTTAAATTACGTACCTCTTTAGTTACAGAGAGGATCCAAAGGAAAAATGGAGGCTTCCAATTTTATCTTGGAACATATCATCAAAGTATCTTACAGAAGACTAATTGATATTATTTATTGGTCACTAAAGTAATAATCAGAAAATGTTTATTTTTTTTCTACATTGTTGAAAAGACAGTTGTCACTCAGGCCTGAATAAACAGAATAATAGAAAAAAATTAAGCTGTCTTTGGAGATCTAAGCTATTTCACAAGTAATTGTGAATAGCAGTTCGATTGTTGAGTGTTCTACTGATTGCAGGTGTAAGAATGTGGGCTGAATATGAATTGGCCCAGAATATGTCTTAAAAATTTAGATTTGAGCCAATATAAGATTTTCTTATTGTAATTTATCATTTATTCAAAAAAGGCATTGCAAAGAAAAGGCAGAATTCAAGTTCTCTTTGGACTCTGTTTCATTAAGAAACCAACATACAGTTGGTTGTATGGAATGGTATTTTCAGTTTGGCCAAGTGGAAATTTTATTTGGATTGTACATCTAATTGTATTGTAAACATCAAACTTGGGTAGAAGAAGTTCCACTACGAGGCCAGAATTTTTTGACTTTACCTCTCTGCTTCAACAAGAATTGTTTCTCCATGGCCTACTTTACAGATATACCTATTTTGTGATATTAGTTGATGGGAGTATCTGGGTAGGTTTAAATTTCCATATTCAGTACTCCTTCTACTTTTTAAATTTGAATGGAAGAGAATTTGATGCTCTTCTCTTTGCACCAGAGTAGCATCTGACACTTAAGGGGGCCTCATCGAAAGCACTTTTCTCTAAAGCAGCAATTTAAAATGGGCTTGCAGCAGAAATAATTGCGGAATGCATAAAATTTTGTATTTGAGAATATTGGTATTTAGAAGTCTTTGGAAAAATGTTCTAAGCCAACACACCTATTCATATAATTGTGTGCTTATTCACACAAACTACTAAAAATAATGATAATAATTATGCTTCCCAGGACAGAATGTCATCTCTAGTAAGTTACGGGGTTTTGGTGGGGAATAAGTATTT